CTGGTTTACATTATACAAGCCGCCTCTCCTTAACAGTATCTGTGCCATAGCAGCCAATTTCGGGTTGTCTCTTAGTCCCCAACTTTGTTTTGATTAGCATTAAGGGAATTTATAATCTAGGATGAGGTCCAGGGCAAAAGTTGACGACATCATGGACTAATTTTACGTTTTGATATAACTGCTACAAGTTTTTTTAAAACTAAGTCGTATGCTAACTAACAGTTTGTTGGGGTATGTGATGGTTGAGCGTGAGTAACTAGTGTCCTGAATACTTTAGTTGGTGAGTGAGTGACTTTTTGATTGATTTACTAGGTCTAACCCATCACTTGACGCTAAATAAAAGCTTCGCTTACGAGGTTATTCAAATATAAGTAATCCAAACGAATTGCTGATAAAAGGACAATCAATTGGGTCAAATGCCTAAAAGGCTGAATCAGTATTTGACGTAAGGTGTGAACCTGACAACAGTACGAAGGTATAAGCTGCTGGTTGGAATACGGGTTAAATAAGACAGACCAAAAGAGTGTGAACTGAATATAAGGTACCAAAATATAGTGCAGCAGTGATTTTGAGTGCTGAATTTCGACTTCGAAAGTTTACCGACAACTTGTAAAGGGTGATATGAAAGATAAGTAGGTTACATTTCGAACTTCTTGACCTATACTTTAACATGACCTGTAATGATCGCATTACATGTAAATATCTTGTTTATATCAGTATATCAGTAAAGAAATGTGAGTACTGAGATGATAAAAACCCGTTATATCCTAAATAAAGCACGTTGTTTGACATGACCGAATATTCTACACTGTTAGTATGTTAGCCTATACTAAGCAACATAGAACCTGATGTTTAAATGTGGAAATAATGGCATGTAAATCACGATAAAGTATCTCAGTTATATTTGTGTTAAACATACATGAATAACTTGTATAGAATAAATGTTTCAGTATTCAACTAACCATCAAGTACTAATCAACCAATAGCAACGTAGAACTTCGTACGTACGTACATCAGTTCATGTTGCCGTACCATATCAGCACAGAGACACAATTGTCAATTCAAATCCCATAGTAGTAGAGGTAGTAAAAGTATTAGAAGTAATTGGAGAGATTAGGGTTCGAAGATGTTATTCAAGAAGTAGAATCTAGTGAAACAGACCTAAAAAGATAAAGTGATGAGGAATTAAGAAGTTCAGGATTTGAGAGAACGCAAAGAATGAATGCACCTGCGCCGCCGCAAACGGTTTTGTGCCATGTCATTCAAAGTCTCTAACCATCGATTACTAATATCTCGCGGATCCCAACCAGGTAATCGACATCTACCGATATGACTCAGTCCACTTGTCAATGGCTTCATGGATTTCTCCTATGTTTTGGTCTGGCCGCCCCCACCTTCCGTCCAACCTATTCCTACATCGCAAAAAATAGTTCGACGAGGCAGTCGGTGGTTAGGCATACGCAACACATGTCCCAAGCACCTCAACTGATGAAGCTTCATTACTTCATCTATTGATCTGCCATCCAATGAATAAACCAATGTGAGTATCTTCATAAAACTACAGAATGCTTTTTGTTGCCTGTCGGTTCCTATTAACCTACTGATATTTTTAATTTTGTATTTTAGATTCGATCCCCGACTATAGCTGCTGCCTTGTGGTGGTCGGACTTGCCTATCGTAGTGACCTGACCGAGCTATATTGGCTGGAACATATGTTCCTGTAGGTCCTATCGTGCAATGCAGGTCGATTGGAGGACGATGAGACTAAAAGCAACTACTCAAGGTCTGAGGGTGAAGTCGTACTGCTGATTGTAGAGAGGTGTGGCAGCAGTAAGTCTTTCCTCTCGGACAACCTGCATATGCAGCGATGCTGCCTTCTCACAAGGAAGGAAGGGGTTAGAATAGGTCGACCCTACAAATGTCACACCTTATCTCACGGATTTCGGTGTCTGGCGGTATGGCCTTCTGAACAGGAGCGTAGCTAATACTTTAAAAACTTCTCACGCTCTCAGGTCTCTAAGACAAACACTAATCTACCTTCCTTTTCAGGTTCTTCAAGAAACAACCTTATACGGTTTTGGCAGCCAGGAGTTGTTTTTCGCCCTCATACCCGTAACAGCACACTAAACCAAATCGGTCAAAATCAAATCCTTCCTACACCTAACATCTCTCTTATCTCCACGTTTCACCCTTCTCACGTCCTTTTAACACCTTGCACCATTAATGCAAACGACTCGAGTTCACGAAACGTTAATCCTGGTGTCCTGAAACCCCGCTTCTAATATACCTACAGTGTGTCGAACAGGACAATAGGCTTCCCTAGGTTTGACTCCAGAATCTCGCGCTATCGATGTATGCTGCGTCTCCGAAACGCGCATACAGGATCCGAGTATTGTCATTCATTTTACATCATGATGTCATTGACGAGTGGACTTAGCCATGTCGGTAATTGTCGACTACCTGGTTGGGGTCCGCGAGATGATAATAATCGATGGCTAGAGACCTTGAATGACATGGCTGAAAATCGTTCGCAATGGCGCCAGTGCATTTGTTCTTTGTGTTCTCTCAAATCCTAATCTTCTGGGTTCTTCAACACCCCTAGTTTTTACTTTCTAAACTTATCTCACTGAATCATACTTCTTGAATAATATCTTCTAATTCTAACCTCTCCGATTACTTCTAATACCTTTACTACCCCTTCTACTATTGGATTTGAATTGACAATTATACCTAGCACTCGTTTCCTAACAACAGCGTTGCTTACTCGGCTGTCCCACGATACACGAGCAGTGCTTTGGAGATACCTATGATCAAAATCCAGTAACCTACGAATATCTTCTACTCTCGCCGGCCATGTTTGACAGTCATAAAGTAGGACGTCGCCAACTACAACGCAGTAGACTCGTCCTTTAGTTAGCAAACGGATATCTCGCCGGCACCACAAGTGACGCCAGTTGGCAAAAGCCAATCAAACCTTCTGTATCCGAGCTGAGATTTCGTCAGTCACCAGGCCATCAGCACTGATGAGACTCTCCAGATACGCGAAGCGGTCTACACGTTCGACTACTTCACTCCCTATCACTAGTTCAGGTACCGATGTAACCCAATCTTGAAGCAACATTTTGCATTTCGAGGGTGAGAACCGCATCCCGAACATGCTCGCACTGTTGCTTAGGGTAGTCAGAAGACTGCATTTTTGTCAGCGTCTTCACCAAACAGAACTATGTCATCGGCATATTCTAAGTCAACCAATGAGTCTCCTGGAAGAAGGTCTACTGAAAATTCAGACGAGCATAATGTTATATTTAGGAGCATGTCTATGACAAAATTGAACAAGAATGATGAAATTGGACATCCCTGACGGACACCACTTGAAGTAAAGAATTCCGATGACAGTTCGCCATAAGCTCTAACTCGACCTGTAGTGTTCGAGTAGAGAGCTTGTATAAGGTTAATGTACTTCTTTGGTACACCTTTCAATGACAGACACTGCGCACAAGCGACTATCTACTGGGATCCAGTCTAGGTGAGATTGTTCAGCTCTACGACTAAATGCTATAACTACACCAGCGAGACCCCGGGAAGCAGCATCAGGGCTACCAGATACAGTAAATCGGGCTGCTTCTTTGTTTTGACAAGGCGAAATCAGATTAACGACTTTACTAGGATCCTGTATGCGCGTTTCCGAGGCGCTGCATACATCGATGGCACGAGATTCTATTGTCCTAGCTGCTCAGGAAGCCTGTTGCCCTATTTGACAATGTCCGTACATTAAATGCTCCAACATGTAGTATAGAACGAGGTTTAAGGAGACCAGAAATGACGTTTCGTGAATCTGTTCGTTTGCATTAGCTGTGCAGTGTGATAAAGGAATGTGAGAAGAGTTAGTCGTGGAGATAAGAGAGGTATTAGGGGGTGTGGGAAGGATTTGATTTTGACGAATTTGGTCTCGTGAGCTGTTACGGGTATGAGGGCGGTTGTCACTTCCCGGCTGTCCACACCGTGGAAGGTTATTTCTAGAGGAACCTGAAAAGGAAGATAGATTAGTGTTGGTCTTGGAGACCTGGGAGCGTGACCGCAGAGCCCAAGGGACGACTGTCTGAGGCCGGTTACGCACGGCCTTTTTATGAAGGGTTTTTTGAGTGTTGGCTCCGCTCTTGAAAGCCTTTAGTGGGCACCCTTACCCAAGGAGACGGAAATCCGTGAGGTAGGGTGGGGTGTGACATTTTTAGGGTCGACCTTTTCTAACCCTTCCTTCCTTGTGAGAAGGCAGCATCGCTGCAGATGCTGGTTGTCCGAGGGAAACACCTTACTGCTGTCACACCCCTCTGCGGTCAGCAGTACGACTTCGCCCTCAGACCTTGAGTAGCTGCTTTTAGTCTCATCGTTCTCCAATCGTCCTGCCTGGTATGGCAGAACCTTCAGGAACATAAGTACCAGCCAATAAAGCTCGGTTGGGTCACTACGATAGGCAAGCCCGACCACCACATCAAGGCAGCAGCTACGGTCGGGATTCTCTTATGATATATGATGCATATCCTAACAATTATGCTTAGATAAGATTTTACCTTCATATTTAGTACTAGCTTAAGTAATGGTGTGAATATATGAGATTATACTTGCTTTAGTTTATAATTTTTTAATAAAAACGTACACATTCACGTCCGTCCACCACGTCAAGGTAGCACCTTCGGTCGGGATTCTGTTGCGTAGGCTTTATATCAGCCTGCACCTAAGCTGACTCTGCTCCTCATCGCACTCAGGGCCAAGCGGGATGGGTTTTCGAGCATCCATCAGTTCGGTAGATGCTACTGAGACCCACGGCTTCTTGTTTTATCTCAAAAGGTTGTAAAAACTAGGTCGTATTATCCATGCACAAAAGATGTAGTCTTTTATCTACTGTATAGATTAGTGGGTTGTTTCTGATAACTTAATTATGCATTATAACGCTACTATCTACTACACAGTAATTCATTTGTACCAGTAATCTGATATCTTACCCGCACAGTTGGAAATAATTTCATTTGATGATACTCCTTATGAGCCTTGACATCTTCTTTATCACCAACTATGTATACCATATGACATTGACGGCATCTAGTACTACCAAATTCCTTTTGTCCACAATCAAGAGTCAGTTGGATCTTTCTTTCTTGATTGAAGTATTTCATTACAGGATTAGATCATTACAAAATTGATTAGACACTAAAAAACAAAGTACTTGATTTGATTATGAGACAAGAGTAACCACGGTAAGATTTATTATTAATGCTACAGAATGCAAAGTGATGTTCATATTTCAGCTAGTGATACACACCCTAGGACGTGGCACATTTGTGCGTCGGTCGCCACACCTTATTAGCATAAGATGGTACTAAATGTGTTGCAAAATCGCATGGGTACTATAACCTTATTCGATTGTTTCAACAGAAGCTGATAATTGCTAGACAAAGCTATTCTGTAATCTAATAGCTAACAGTGTAATGTTAAAAGAGTAATCTCTATGGTATTAAGGGGTTAGACTGGATCCAAAAGTCATTAACTACATGCTCTTGAGAATCAATCTCACCAACAGTTTGCGGTTGGTTTTTTAGCATACCTAACCTGAAAACCTACAGTTGTTTGTCTTTAGAGAAATCCCTTTAGCATATGAAGGGACTACAGACTTAATGGTAGAAACTGAATTTGTAACCAAAACAGCGCACGTCATAAAAGGAATTGCTAATCTCATTGTACCAAGGCACATAGCTTCACTCATACGAAAGAATTATTTACGACTTATACGGAAATCCCTGTTTTAAGCTATCAATCTAAACACAGATACTGCCTACGCAGAACCGATAGGTAACGTTACAAAGCATTACTTATATTTGGCCGGATGATAATGCTAATAACGGCCTTGGGAAGCCATGAATTGTTTATTTCTATCCTTTAAAAAAAGGACAGTTTGGTGTAATTTGATTACTAGACTCATGGGGAAATATTTAAAGAACCCGTGCATATTACATAACTTTTGGTGACTTGGGTGAGGAAATGCGTGACCATCAGATATTCTGCTGTTTGTGCTCAACTGATAGACTTTGCTTTGATGAGTACTGATAACTCAGGTAACTAAAAATTATTTAACATAAACAATTTCTTAGTGAAGATATCCCTGTTAATAAAGATGTCATGCTTATTTTACCTTTGACAAATTATTATTGTAAATAAATATTAAAATAAATTCTTCATTGTTTGAAAACTATGGTCAACGCTAGTGTTAAATTTCTTGTGGCAGTGAAAACGAATTTCTACGCCAAAGGGAAACAAGTGAATTTAGACATAAATTAGACGACCTGGCACGAATTTAGGCGAGAAGTAAACTATTTGGCTATTAAGAGTGAGTTAATAGATATTTGAACAAAATGTATCATTATTTCCAACGCAAATAAGTTGGTTTTTAGTAGCAATGTCACCTGATCTCACACCACATTTTCCTGGCTGACATTGCTTGTCTCCTTAGAGTGCACCTTTATTTTTCCATTCTTGTTTAATTGGTCCAACCCTATTACCACTAATTAGTGATGTGTAACGAAATATCTCTGCGGTGAGAGAGGGAGATGAAAAGAAGCGAAAAGGACAAAAAAATCCGTTGGAGATTAATTTAGGTCATTCACTTAGTAATATCTTATTCGACTTAATTACCTACTTAGTTTCAGGACCATGCAAAATTCGCACCCAGTTTATAAACACCGCATTTTTATCATTTTCCAGTTTGCGTTTCCAATATTCAATATCATTTTTACGAGCTAGTGTAGACCAATTGATTTATTTGCTCTCGATTCTTGTCCTTTCGGAACGGTTACAGGTGTTTAGTAGTGTCCAATGAATGATGGTTTAGCCATTCGACTGTCTGATTCTAGCTAGTTGGAAGTTGCTTGTGAGTTTGTATGTCTCGTGATTTCAATGAATACGTTTGTTTCAGGGCAGTAGGGTTTCTGGATATCAGCAGCTTTCACAATACCAAACTGAAGACCAGTTAAATGCAATGTAGATGATAATAAGAAGGAAATTCTAATGCTAATAAGGTTTCAGAACTAGGTAATATATAGATATTTGAAATCATCAATCAGTCATTGTTAGACCACCGTTAGAAAACTGGGAGCACTGGACGGCCGTTTCGTCCTGATACGGGACTCATCAGCAGTGCGCATCCACGAATCCTGCACCTCTCAGGATTCGAATCCGGGACCTTCGGTATGTGTAAAAACACAAAACTCCAAAACTGTAACTGAAAATATATAGATAATTTAGTTTAATAATAGGTAGTGAGGATTGTGAGAGGACCTTAGTGTAAGCAGTGGACAGGAAACAGAGATAATAGGCGGGATAGAATCATATAGTGACCTGAGGAGATGACAATGATAACAACTATCAGGTCTCAAGGTATGCACAATGCACAGTTTGTCCAAGAGGGAGAGTATAATCTGGTTGTGATAAAGTCTCCCCTTAAAGCTGTCCACTGAAGCGGTCTGTGGTCACCTCGGCTGGAAGAGCATCACAAGTTGCATGGACACCTGATGAGGAATTTTTGGACGATTACCTCAAGAGGCGTGGAAGTGATGCATGGGTATTATGCCGACGTCGGGATGATTTGTCTCGCTTCATATGTTTAATGATGCAATCAGATCACCTCTGCTAAGGGTGCAAATTTATTTATTATATATCATTTGTGTCGTGATAAACTACATTTATTAGTTCATCGGTATTGTTTGCGGTAAAGTATTTAGTCCAGTTAATGCTTCTGAGGCGATTCCGGATGTTTGCCCAATCGATCCAACGAAAGTCTCAACGAAGTGTAGTGGATTTACGTTCTATAGCTGTGGTTCTTATATTAAGGCTGCATATGACGATATTATAACTGACGCGAGTTACAACAGTTGCGTTACGACGAACTGCTAATGACTGCGAAACAATGCAAGATAGAGCCAGGTCTGCATATAACAAGAATTGACGAGGTTAGTGTGCTGAGTTCTGGTTGATATTCTTCGTATAATAAATTTAAAGGCTCTTGGGTAAATTAACCAAGTCTTCGGCGAATATCCAGATTAATATTCAAGGATTGAAATAAGGTGCTGAAAAAGAAATAGAGAGAAAGGTGCGAGAAGCAGAACAGAAAATATTCATGTTTAAAGCTGTAGGATTGAATTTGTTCTACAGATATAATTCTAGAAAGGTAAACTCAATATTGGCTAGCACAGAGTCTATGGGAAAGATATAGTCAGAACAAGACCAATTTCGCTTTAAACTTTATCCGTTTCTAAACATAAAAACAATTAGACTAGTACAATAAATAACGAAATTACAATTATCAAGTAAGACGAGCAGACGTACCGACCAATGTAGCGTGTCTTATGGAAATGAGTAAAGTTATGAGTCGCATCAATATAATAAGATTATAATGTCAATTAATTTTTAGGTCATTTACAACAAGGAAGGTTTACAGACACGTCAGATCAGATCACGTGGTGGGCACTTAAACCACAATTTGATTGGTTAGTTATGACATAACTACAATTAGTTATGGAAATAATTAATAAAAGACGAACAATGACCTGGCAGATACTTTTTTAAATTGGAACACTAACTGTACACCTGGACTTATGTAGGTTAATCAATACAAGTCAGAATTAATCGTTTGAATAGCGGAAATTCAGAAGAACCAAATTGTTAGCAATACTGTTGATGTACAGAATATAATCATGAGTCACAATGATCTGACGCTTTTGCGATATTTTGTTTATCAGTAGAATTGCCTATATCTGCTTGTTAAAGGATTTCTTAGTAGGAAGTTAAAACCAGTGCAAGTTTACGGACATGAGTCGTAGACGAGGTTAAAAAGGAAAAGTAACATCAATATCACTGATTCGATACATCCTGCTATATCGTAAGGAGGCTCTCTTACGTTTAATGATAGATTTTAAACACTGTTTTTCATTCTATGCTCTACTTTTTATACACTTTGTCGGGATACACTTTCTCTACAAGCTCCACGTAACAAGCAGACCAGACAACTTTTTGTCCCCTGTATGAAAGACAAAATGTACACGTAGCACATCACACTGCTATTAAGTTAACTAATGGTATAAATTTTAAGATCTGGGTCAGTTAATAAGTGTTTTGGAGATAGGAAGAACAGGTAGCTGAGTAAAGAGAAAGAGGAAAAATAGTGTTGAAAAATTCATTAGTAAGGCGATAAATAGGTAAGAAATCAAGGTTTTTGGATGTTAACAAACTTGAGGAATAAAAAGTTTATTAGACTGATAATACATGAACAAGAAGGAACTCACAACGATACGGGGATTTTGAGTTCCTCGTAATTAGCAGTAGTTGAGAAACATCTACTTGCTTTGCAATTTATCGGTCTACTAGAATTAAAAACTAAAATTGCTGTGAAGATATGGAAATGTTGATGGGAATTTAAATTTTAGAGAAAATTCGTGGGTAACGTAACCTATTTCTGTTAGTAGGAGCGTGATGATGCGTGCGTGGATGATTATGTTCATTGTCTGTAGTTAGTTCCATAATATTTCGTGGACCATAAAAGAAGGCCTCGGGACTTGGTGTGATTTCCAGGAATAATGGATAAATCTCTTTAGATTCCAATGACAGCATTACTAGACTCCTGAACTTGGTGATTGTGTCACAGATACGGATAGTAGTTAGTAATCTGCTGCACAATAGATTATATCGTTTTACAAATAGATTACCACCCAAGGGTTTTTTTGTGTCTTACTGTTAGTAGTTTATATAAGCTGTTTCTAAGTATTTAAGCAGTATCGTGGTTCATATTTTGGCGGTAATTTCGAACGATAGAACATATTTTATAGAAAGGTATTAGGTTGTTTTTCAACCAATGACGTCACAGAGGTTCTAGGGAAAGATGTTTGCATCTTTCTGTGTAGTCTAGAGTATGGTTACATCATAGCAGTCGCTGAGTGAAGCTGCTTTGGACATTTTCTATGATATTCACGATTGAAAATATAAGTCAGCAATATTCCAGAGAGGGCCTTAGACGCATTTTAAAGAGTGTAAGTATAGCCTCCTTTGTTCGGGCTTGGGACCGACAGTAGACCCTAAGGTCTACCGGCGGAGTTTAAGCACCTAAATGGTTTGAATCATTTATTGACTGCTTAGAGCCTAGAGAGTAGACTCAACATGTTGATGGCCCAACCAGACATTAAAATACATTGGATTTACTTTTCCCCAGCATTCTCATTCCTAATACAATATATGTTGTAAAAAAGTTCCCAGGTAGTGACCATAATATCGTCATATGCAGCCTTAATATAAGAACCACAGCTATAGAACGTAAATCCACTACACTTCGTTGAGACTTTCGTAGGATCGATTGGGCAAACATCCGGAATCGCCTCAGAAGCATTAACTGGACTAAATACTTTACCGCGAACAATACCGATGAACTAATAAATGTAGTTTATCACGACACAAATAATATATAATAAATAAATTTGCACCCTTAGCAGAGGTGATCTGATTGCATCATTAAACATATGAAGCGAGACAAATCATCCCGACGTCGGCATAATACCCATGCATCACTTCCACGCCTCTTGAGGTAATCGTCCAAAAATTCCTCGTCAGGTGTCCATGCAACTTGTGATGCTCTTCCAGCCGAGGTGACCACAGACCGCTTCAGTGGACAGCTTTAAGGGGAGACTTTATCACAACCAGATTATACTCTCCCTCTTGGACAAACTGTGCATTATGCATACCTTGAGACCTGATAGTTGTTATCATTGTCATCTCCTCAGGTCACTATATGATTCTATCCCGCCTATTATCTCTGTTTCCTGTTCACTGCTTACACTAAGGTCCTCTCACAATCCTCACTACCTATTATTAAACTAAATTATCTATATATTTTCAGTTAGAGTTTTGTGTTTTTACACATACCGAAGGTCCCGGATTCGAATCCTGAGAGGTGCAGGATTCGTGGATGCTCACTGCTGATGAGTCCCGTATCAGGACGAAACGGCCGTCCAGTGCTCCCAGTTTTCTAACGGTGGTCTAACAATGACTGATTGATGATTTCAAATATCTATATATTACCTAGTTCTGAAACCTTATTAGCATTAGAATTTCCTTCTTATTATCATCTACATTGCATTTAACTGGTCTTCAGTTTGGTATTGTGAAAGCTGCTGATATCCAGAAACCCTACTGCCCTGAAACAAACGTATTCATTGAAATCACGAGACATACAAACTCACAAGCAACTTCCAACTAGCTAGAATCAGACAGTCGAATGGCTAAACCATCATTCATTGGACACTACTAAACACCTGTAACCGTTCCGAAAGGACAAGAATCGAGAGCAAATAAATCAATTGGTCTACACTAGCTCGTAAAAATGATATTGAATATTGGAAACGCAAACTGGAAAATGATAAAAATGCGGTGTTTATAAACTGGGTGCGAATTTTGCATGGTCCTGAAACTAAGTAGGTAATTAAGTCGAATAAGATATTACTAAGTGAATGACCTAAATTAATCTCCAACGGATTTTTTTGTCCTTTTCGCTTCTTTTCATCTCCCTCTCTCACCGCAGAGATATTTCGTTACACATCACTAATTAGTGGTAATAGGGTTGGACCAATTAAACAAGAATGGAAAAATAAAGGTGCACTCTAAGGAGACAAGCAATGTCAGCCAGGAAAATGTGGTGTGAGATCAGGTGACATTGCTACTAAAAACCAACTTATTTGCGTTGGAAATAATGATACATTTTGTT